GAGAATCTTCTATGCATTTAGATGAAAGAAATAATGAAAATAGTATGGTAGAGGGGGGGTGTACCATGTGCATGGTACACCCACAAATATATTATATATAAATAAAAGAACATTGAGACAAATTTAATGTTCTTTTATTTATATGTAATGTTCTTTTTTAATGAAGCGTAATTTATGTAATGTTCTTTATTTTATATGTAATGTAATTTTCATTTCACCCATTCATTTTCTCTCTCTTCGATACTCTCTCTCCTCTCCCTCTAACTTCTTCTTCCATTTTATTTCTTGATTTTTATAGTTTTTATGTGCTTAATTCATCACTCACAAACACATTTATACTAGATTTTACACTCCAAAATTCGAATTTCACAACCAAATTTTCGGATTTTTCATGATGTGAGAATTTTGGGTATTTTTTATTTTGGCTAAAAAACTTGCAATTGAGTGTTCAACTTGCTTGATTTCCACTATTAATTCACTTTACAAGGGTTTTCTACTCATTTGAGGTATGACTTCTCTTTCTTTGTTCATCTTTGTTCTACTTCATGAATATGAAACCCTAGGTTGTGCTTCAATAGTGAACTCTCTTTATGCTTGTTATTTTTACCTATATTTTGTGTTTTGTGATAATGTTTGTTGTTCATATAAAGCCTTATTATCATGAAATTACTTGATTGTTTGAATTTTTGGCACTACCATTGTTGCTCATCATCTTCTTCCATGGGTTTGGGTAGTAGCATTTTTCCATTATTTATATGTAACGTTATTTTTCAGAAAGTTAATGTTATTTTATATTTATATGTAATGTTATTTTATTTTTAAGTTATGTTCTTTTATTGTATGTAATGTTCTGTAGTTTATATGTAAGGTTCTTTTTTTATGTACTCTATGTTCGTTTGTAATGTATAGTAAATTATTATAACTACGATTTTTTTTATTTATGGGCAATGTTATTTTATTTATATGTAATTTTCTTTTATTTATAGGTAATGTTCTTTAATTCATATGGTGATGTTCTTCCAGGTGTACCATGCACACCCGGCTGTACGAAACAATTATTGTAAAAATAACACTCACTGATATTTTTTCCGTATACTTCCACCCATTTGTTTTTGGTTAATATTCACACATGATTAGGGGTGGTTATTGGGTAGGGCTACCCAATGGCAAAAGGGTCGGGCCTAATATTAAAGGGTTTTGACCCTTTAATTTTTTAATAGACAGGGCTTTAATAGGGTCTTATTTTGTAGGGCTTTTATAGGGTCTTATTTTGTAGGGCTTTTATAGGGTCTTATTTTTAATGGACAGGACTTAAGAATTAAAATAAAAAGCCTAATAATAATGATTAAGGGTCAGCCTTACTTCCATTTTTTCTCTCTTCTCCTCTGTTCTTCCGCCCACCTTTCTCTATCCTCCATTGAAGCGCACTCAGAATTCTCCATTGAAGCGCACTCATAATTCTCCATTGAAGCCGCTTCAGCGTTAATAAGCTCAAAATAAGTTCAATTCAGATGATTATTAGAATTTCAATGAGAATTTTACAAAGAAACTACCTGGAGCATTCGAATTTTGGGTTCAATCGAATCGAATATTTTGACAAAAATCACGATTTCATTGAAAGAAATAATTGTAAAAATTTGTTTATAGCAAATGAAAAATCGAATTTTGCTAATTGTAAAAAAAAAAAAACACTTGGAGAAGAATCATATTGAAACAGAAAATCACGATTATCAGCTGCGGCAGCGAGATCGCCGGAAGGAGTCTCCGGCGACCAAGTGACGGAGACGACATCGGAGAATTCGGAAGAAGGAAGGAGAAGGGAAGTGAGATATAACGAAGCATGAGGGCTAGTGGTTAGTTGATTTACAAGGGAAGTGAGATATAACGGAGAAATTGAATTTTATTGTTTGGTGTTGTTAATTGAATTGTTAGTGTCATACTTCGTATTTCATTGTATACTTTCATTGGATTTCTTTGTATAATGGCACTAAATTAGCATGATTGTTGCCTTAACTTTCCTGATGGTGTTTTGATTCAGAACTTTAAGCGTGCTTCGTGTTCAGCTGTGCTTACTTTGGCATATCAGCTGTGCTTCTATTAAATTTGGGTAAAGGCCCGTTAATGGTCCGTTTCACTTTTACCTCGACCCTGACCCGCATTGACCCTGACCCGCTAAATATTATCATAATCCGCAACCGACCCGCCCTGCTAATGACCCGCATCGAGCCGCCCAATAACCATCCCTACACATGATATGTCTATCACTTTCATTTTGTACTATTTGTATTACTTACAGTACATTGTTTTAAAAACTCATTTAGATGTAATGTTGATATATAGTGGATGTTGCATCTATTCATCTGAGTCTCGACTTGATTTCACGTTAGTTTGATATTGTCTAAGACTTCTGCCCACTTCTAAGGTCCAGCTCCCGAACCTTCGGCTCTAATGCCAATTGTTAGGACGTGTTTATCATCCAATATTTTTTTTAGTGTTCCACCCAAATCACTCTTTGGACTAATTCGGATTTAAGGATCAGTTTTGGGTGGTTAGGTTCCACTCCCCTCCCAATTGTTGTTGTGGGGGATCGAACACGCAATCTTCCCTACTAAGTGTAGCCTCAATCACCACTACACCCAATTAGTTGTTCATCATACTATATATCAACATACACTTTATTATTATTATTATTATTATTATTATTATTATTATTATTATTATTATTATTATTATTATTATTATTATTATTATTTATTTTTTATTTATTTATTTATTTTTAAGGAAATATCACTTTAAACTTGCCTTGCATAAATTTGTTTTTATTCCCCTTTTTACAATAATCACATACTAATAAAAACACATAGACATACTCTTCTAAGGAATACAAGTTAATAAGTTATACAACTGTTCCTAATTTTTTTCATGTGGGACTTGGGTTGGCAACCCAATCTTAATCATCACATAATTTTACTCGTACCATACAAATATATATGCGTGAACGGTGAACCGTGAACACAATGACATGCAATTTCTTTTGTCAAATCAGTTGAAATAAAAGCTTTCATGTACCCTTAATTAAAAATAAAAAAAAAGGGCTTTCATGTAAACAATGTTTGACTTAAATAAAAAAGATGAAGAAGATGACAAAATTGATAAAGGTAGTGTAAATCAGACACTGGCTGAAGACAAAGCAACCCCATTTGTCTGGCATAGTCATCCTCATTCATCTTTTCTTTTTATTAAAACTCTCAAATTAAAGTTACATTACAATTATATACCCCTTTTTAATTATAAGTTTATAACCCTTCATTCATGAATCAAAAAGCTTGATTGGTTATGCAAAGAAGTACTCCGTATACAACTGCCACATATTTATCACTCCGTTATCAAATGTCTATAACTTGTATTTCCATCACGTGTTATCTATGCTCATATTATTTGTCCTTATGAATTTATTCTACGGAGGTGAGATCAATTTAAGGATCTAATTAATGATTGTTTTTAATGCAATATTTGTGAGACTATATTATCAAATATGTATTGGTCTCAAGACTCTCAACAACGTAATGTTGATTTGTCACTTATGTCAAGACTATTGTTCATCGGTGGTAATTCCTGTCAATGTTCTCGCTTTACTGCAACCATATATTATAAGTAGAAGATACATGTAATGGATAATGGATTATCGTTACTTTACATGATTAGATACACAACTAGTTTTCTTCAATATCATGATAAGATATAATCCACCCTACCAAAAAAAAAAAAAAATTGGAAGAAAAGGGCGGATCACATTATGATAATTATGTGATCTATCTCTCCATTTAGGCCCCTCCCAAGAAAAACTAAAGTCGACAAATCATATGTATATTTCATATGTATGACCCCTTAATTCATTCCAAGAACTCAAATCAATTACTCCATAAACATATAATACAATCAATTCAACAACTTTTTAGAGAAATCTTCAAATAATTTATTACGAGTTCATTATTTTCCAAGCATGTAGAAAATATCTCAATGTAACATCATCCACTAACAAAGCATGGATACTAGACTAGTTTAGCTGGTTAAATTAAAATTTTACATTATTACACCCATTTCTGAAGATGTAAAACCCTGTCTCATTACTCATCGTTTGTGACTCTCTTACGATAAAATACCAATAAAGTTGTAAGAAAAAAAATATAGTGGTCCTATACTTCTACACAGGGCTCATCTTTTAATTTGATCCAAGTACTAACACTTTAGTTTTTGAAAGAGATTAGATACAACAACAAAGGTTAAACAAAAGCTAAAACTAATTAAAAAAAAAAAAAATCTCAGAGAAAAAAGCAGCCAAGATGTCAGGATCACAGACACAGCCAAACAGCTTTTTTTTAATAATCTTTGATCATCTTTCTCTCTCTTCCTTCCCTTTCATAGTAATGATCTCTTTCTTCCTTCTCTCTCTCTCTCAAGTCTCAACCAACCAACCTCTCTTTCTCTCTCTTCTAAATCTCTCTCCTCTGTTATACTTTCATATGATCAGCATCTTCTGCATTCATTACTATATAAAAATCAAAAAAAACTTTATAATATTAACTTCATTTTTCAGCTTGAAAAACAAATTTATAAAAAGCTTACATACTGTTTGTCTCAGATCCCAATAAATTTATCATATCATAAAATATAATCTGTCTTTCTCTCTCTAGGTTTTTATATTACAGTTCAGTGTTCACTGTCTGATTTACTGATTTAGCAGTAAGTTTAAAGCAATCTCTCTCTTTCAATTTTTCTCGCCCTATATTTGTGGTCCTTTACATAGGGTAAATTCTATTATTATTACTCCTTTCTTCCCTCTTTTTTTCCCCTCTTTCTCTCTCTACCTTAAACTTTCTCTCTCCTCATTTTTTCTTCATACCCATTTCATATAATCACCTAATTCAAGTACCCTTTTGAAGGTTTTGATTGATTCCATTAAAAAACTAGTTTTCGATTTTGAGGGTTTTGTGAGAAAAATGCAGGAACAGGGGTTAGGGATGATGGGAGGCGGAAGCGGAAGCGGAGGCGGAAGTGGTGGTGGTTTTGGCGGTTTGATGGGCGGAGAAATGGCGTTTTCCGATCAGTATAGACAGCTAAAAGCTGAAATTGCGACACATCCGCTGTATGAACAGCTGTTAGCGGCTCATGTTGCTTGTTTAAGAGTTGCAACACCAATTGATCAGTTGCCTTTAATTGAAGCTCAATATAATCAATCTCATAATTTACTTCGTTCTTATGCTACTAATTCTCAACATAATCACTCTCTCTCTCCTCATGAACGCCAAGACCTTGACAACTTTTTGGTAATAATTCTAATAATAATCATCTTTTTTTTTTTTTTTTTTTTTTTTTTTGAAGGCATCTTTTATTTTAGTTTATGTTTGAGTAATTAGGTATAAAGTATAGTTTGTGATTTAATTAGTCTAAACTTTGTTTTGGGTGTTGTATTTTTAGGCACAATATTTGTTGGTGTTGTGTTCATTCAAGGAGCAGCTACAAAATCATGTTAGAGTCCATGCTGTTGAAGCTGTCATGGCATGCCGTGAAATCGAACAAAATTTGCAAAATCTTACTGGTATGTTCTCGATAATGTCTCTATATTTTTTTTTTTAATAGGGATAATGTCTCTATTTGAATTTAGTTGTTAAATTACTAGTTTAAATTACATGGTGATAGTAATAGTAATAATTTACTTCGTATTCGTATTTCAGATGAAGAGAGTATATTTTTTATTGGATCTATGTATGACTGTATATATCAATGTATGTGTCATATACAAGTATTATTATTATCTGGTGTGGTGAAAAAGACTAATATTAGGAATAATAAAAGTATAAAACAATACATGTATAAAATTCAAGAAACATACATATGATTTTGTACTATTTATAAACAAAACATATGATATAATAATATTCTATCCATTTTGCTTGATTAATGAAGTTTGCATACATTTGGGTTTCCTATGTTTCACTATTCTGATGATTATTAGTTTGGTGGGCAACAAATAAAAATCTATATGAAAATAAATAAATAGTAAATATATAAATTATCCATGACAAAATTGGAGGTTTTTGCAATTTCTTGTGTTGACAAACAAAAGGGTGGGTGGTAGTGGGCCCCATTGAAAAGGAAATTTTAATTTATAGTCAGCAGAAGATAGTTAGTTAGTGAGGAAGGGTGGGAAGAAGAAGGAGGGTAAACAAATTAAGCAAGATGTATACTATTACTGTACATATATTATTATGTGTTAGCATCAACCCCAACCAATCACAAATCGAAAGGTACACCCAATAATCGAATATTATTGTTGGTGTTATCTAGAAAGTATTGAATGATTGATTAGTTGATTAATGAAGATTACTATTCACTTAACAATATGATGTGGTCAAGCATTCATTTGTTATGAGTAGTTGTTACTATTAGGCAAGATATTTTGTATCATTCTAGATCCAATTTTGAAGTACACTTTATCTTTTTTACGTTTGTCAATAAAAAAATTAGACTATTAGTATCTCCATAATGTATTGGTATAAAAATAAAATAAAATATTAATATATGTTAAGATGAATCTAACAAAACCTTATTGTAAAGAATTGAACAATATACCATTAAAGTAAAGTTTGTATATAGTGCTAGGTATAATGTTAATAACTTTAAAAATTAGAGATTACATTATAAGAAAAATACAAAAACATAATTTGATATCTCATTATGTCTTGTCAATTTAGGTTAACAGTAAAAAGATATATTCATTTGTTTTCCAAAGATATTGAAGTGGGGTTCTTTAAGCACATTGATTTATATATTAGATTGATATGACTTTCACTTTTTGTTTAATCTAACATGCATGGTGATTGATTTGGTAATGACCGGTTGGGATTTATTTACAATGATTGTCAATGTTAAATCCATTGTAACAATGCAATCATAACCACTAGATTTGCTAATCTTATAGTTGTGATAAATGGTATACTTTTTTTGTAAAAAAATTTGAAATTCATAACACATAAATTTGGCACTTAAACATTTTTACTCTAGTTTTCGCTTTTTTGTATTAATTGTGAAGAAAATCTTACATACTTGATGTGATACTTTGAGATCTAATTTAGCTAGTATATACTCGTACTAAGCAATTAATTAGTGGTTGTAATTGTGAAATGCTAGCTAACACATTATTTGGCAAGTTGTGCTTGTTAGCTAGAAAACTTAGGTATTCTTTCTTAATTATTTGTGTTGAAAAATTAGTGACAGTTTAAAAGGAATTAAAAAAAGCCATTGTCAATGTTGTTGATGTAAGAGAATGCGTGTTTTAGAATCTTATTATATATTTAATCAACTGTTTACTAGTCATTGTCCATTTTTAAAGAACTTATGGAGTTTGGCCAATTCAACCTTCATTGATTAATCAAGAATTCGTTACTTGATGAGTAAGGAATCTCTAGAAGAAGAGTAAAAAAAAAAAAAGTATATTTAATAGGAGTATTATATAAATTGGGGAGAATAATGAAGCTTATTTATGAAGAGGGTTTGGTCTCTATCAAATGTATAAAAGATACAAGTATGTCATATTACTTTGTGTGCCAATATGAATGGCCTTTGTTTTTATTTCATTGGTCCATATTACTCCATATATTTCTAAGTTGTAGAGAAGTGGTGGACCATTCACTAACGGAGTAACATTTACAAATAAAAATAAGTGTCATTTCATTATTGTACACAAAAATGAGATGATCTATTTTGGCGCTTACATAAAAGATGTGGTCATCCACCATAACTTTTGCTCACAAAGAAGATTTTTAAGCATATGCTTATACTTACATGTATTGTGCATCAAAGCATGCATACACAACCAATATTTGAGTGGATTAAGTGTGACAGCTTTATATTTTGAGCTTTAGAGCCAACTAACTTAGTGTAATATGTGCATCTAAGTGGTATGACGGAAATATTGCACTTAAAACTTAGGTTATATGCCATTTTCATAACATAAAGATAAAGTTGGCGCACCAATGAGTCACATGATCAAATTTATTACTTATATTACTAGATATGTTCTTCTCAAACTCCTTTTTTTCCACTGGTCAAGGTGGATGAACACTAAACATAAAAAAGATAGCTAAAACTGATGTATAGTAATCATATTATCCGAATTTTTTAATGCATAGGCTTTTTCGAAATCATTTTGCTATTCTTTTATTTGTGTTAGTAACATACGAAGTATATTAACTTGTGTAATTCTTGCTGTTTATGATTTGCTTAATTGCATGCTATGCCTTGTTAGATGTTACATTGTAATGAGCATTTGTTATTTGACAATTGCAGGCGCGACACTAGGAGAAGGATCAGGTGCAACAATGTCAGATGATGAGGATGATTTGCAGTTGGAATACTCTATGGATCAGTCATCTGGGGGAGATGCACATGACATGATGGGATTTGGGCCTTTACTTCCTACTGAATCTGAGAGGTCTCTCATGGAACGAGTCCGTCATGAACTCAAGATCGAGTTGAAGCAGGTAATTAAATCTGTACACTATGTTCAACAGGAGTATAAATCATCCAAAAAGTCCAGATTTTCTATATTTAAAGGTTGCTTTTGTTATTTGATGATTGAAGAACAATGTACTTGCAGGGATTCAAGTCCAGAATCGAAGATGTCAGAGAGGAAATTCTGCGCAAAAGGCGAGCTGGGAAACTACCTGGGGATACCACTTCTGTTCTTAAGGCATGGTGGCAACAACATTCGAAGTGGCCTTATCCTACTGTAAGATACACTACTCAATCTTTCATATATGTCTCTTCATGGTTTGTAATTTTCTTCAGATTTATATGTTTTTAGACAGCAACCTGTAATGCCTGCTTTTTATGATTACAGGAAGATGACAAGGCGAAACTAGTTGAGGAAACAGGGTTACAACTCAAGCAGATTAACAACTGGTTTATCAACCAAAGGAAGCGCAACTGGCATAACAACTCTCAGTCTGCAAACACTCTCAAGTCCAAGCGCAAACGGTAAACAGCCATGCCATCTGATTCATTCCTGCAGAATGACATACAGATCAGACCAGCAAGATCATATGCAAATATACGTTTTTGTATCGCGTTTCCATCAGTTTGTATGTAACTTCTCGTGCAGGTTGATATCAATCTAACCAAAACCACTGTTACTTTTGGGATATATATACTGAAAATTCAATCATGGAATTACTATTAGGATGCAGGATATGCGACTTCGTTCAACAGTCTGGTGTAAAGAAAAATGTTAATGCATAGAGGGGATCAGATTAGGTCTTTTGGATTCTTAGTAAAGATATGTAATATACTACTTCATATATCCTATTATTATGATCTGATCTTTTCATTATTCTTAATCTTTATACTTGAAAGTTACTCATTACTCCTGATTTCTTTTGTTTGAGACTATTGCCAAGGCACATGTGATGTTATGATCTTGTTGAATTTATTTCCCTCCTCATCATTGTCAAAGGACTAGCATAATTATCATCATTTCCATTTTCGACTTCGAGGGTTGCTTTAGCCCAAGTTCAAGACTATAGTTGATGGGTATGGCAAAGTGTATGCTGCTTCTAATCTTCTAGACAAGGATAATTTAAGCAACCGAGGAAAGTTTTCCAATACTGCGGCCAAAGACATAATACAGAGTATTCCCGCTTACCCTTTTTGTTCTCCCTTAGGGAGAGTATCCTCCAAGTGCTTAGTTTTGTACGTAGCTTTCCTTAAGTCTAAGGTGGTTCATGCAAATAATTGTCTTATAGACTAATTGTTAGTAGTGTTTGGCATACATGAAGACTATAAACCAAGTCAATGCAAAATGTTTAGAAGTTTGTAAACTTGTCATGAAGGTTGTCCTAAGAGGAATGTCTCCCTCATGTGATGTTTGGTTTCCCATGTTTACTTGGAATTGTTCAATTCCGTTCATGGTATGATTGTTACGTAAACATGCCTATGATTAAATAGATGAAAATAAGGATGTTATTCATTCTCCGTTGTGTTTTTTTAGTGCTTCTTTGCTTGAAAATCAAAGTTCCTAGAAAATGAAATAGTGTAAAATTGTTTGGATAACAAAATCATAAAACGTTGTGCTTGTTTTAAAAAATAGATAATATTATTTATCTAGATTTTTGAACGTTAGTAGAACTTCCAATAACTCTTAGAAAACCAAATAACAAGAAATAAGATTACATGGATACATAAACTAGGAAATTTAGTTCACATGTTCAACTTAACATTGACACAGAGATGAAATTATGGTTTATAATCCCAATGAGTAGAATTTACCTTGATTAAGTTTTTCTTATACTCCATAGGTGTTTGATTATAAATTGTATGCTTTCACAATAGTGATCGAAGATACATCGAGACAAGAGCTTGCTTGAAAATTGGCTTATATTGATCGTTGATTGTCAGTTGTTTTGACCGATTGTTTATATTGACTTTTATTTTGTAGCTTGTCTTTTTATATACTTAAATGCCTTATTCGGTTATTGAATTTTGATTGACTTTTTCATTGGCTTTTGGGTTTTTCATTTAGTCAAACAACTAAATTTTTGTTTGGTAAATAGTTATCTGAGCTAGTTGAAAATTTGACTTTTAAGGGAAAATGAAAAATTTGCTTAGAGTAGCTTTTGGCAACATTCAATTTTTCCAAACATGCTAGTAAACATATAAAAATTTAAACAGCCAATCTATTGATTTTTTATTTTTTATTTTTTTTTTGTATTAGCCGTTCAATTGTACTTAGATAACCCTTATCAAATTTTATCATAACTTATTTTATCTAGATCCTGAACTTATCTTTTCTATATCTTTTTTTTTTTTTAATATGATATATTACATCCGTTTCATATTATTTGCAACGTTATAATAGACTTCTAGTTTTCAATTTTATCAATAATACGTCCGATTTCAACACCCAAAAGAAAAAGAAAATTATCTTAAAAACAAGCACGGGAACAGTAGCGGACTTCAACTGTAAAAACAGATTGCAGAAAACCATTGATCAACCAGCTTCAGCCACTGACATTAACTCTTTTACTTAGAAGTTTCCTTAACCCAACTTTCTCTCCCTAATTAATCTAATCTATTTTGCTACCAATTTACAAAGATGAACAATTTTGAATCATTTAATAATCAAACAGTAGCCTAGTTCTTGTTGACTTTTGTCAATGCAAGATCTTATTCAAATTAATGTGCCCAACAACTTATTTCTGGTTTCCCACTCTCTTCCAATCATTCAAAATTCAATCTTTTTTATTGATTTTTTCAATTCTTCAACTTCCCAATTCATTGGTGCTCTTTTAATCAAACTTGGGTAATCCTTTTTAAGCCTGATTTTTGTAATCTTGGCACAAACCCACATTTATACAGCTCATAAATCAGGTAAATTTGACAGATTTAGCAGTTTTTCAGACTTTTTTTTTATTATATTGTCATTCTTTGGTTAATTTGACAGTTTTTAATCATCCTGCAATCAAATTAATCAGAATATAACAGAATTAGGAAGTTTTTGTTGGGTTTTGAACTTTTGATTGCTTATTTAGGAGTATTATTGTGATTAATTTGATTCTGAAGATTGTGTAAAAGTATGGCACATTTTAGTCAAGTTCATTCACCTTCCTTTGATGGCTCACAACATGGTCAAGGAACTGAGTATTTGCCATTTCAGACCTCTCAAGGGTCTCTAAAAGTTATGTTGTTACATGGGCATTTAGACATTTGGGTTAAGGAGGCTAGGAACCTTCCTAATATGGACATGTTTCATAAAACCTTGACTAATTTGCTAGGGGGTTTATCGATTATGGGTTCCTCGAAGAGGTTAACGAGTGATCCATATGTCATTGTATCTGTTGCTGGTGCTATTATAGCAAGAACTTTTGTGATGAGGAATGATGATAACCCGGTATGGATGCAGCACTTCTTTGTGACTGTTGCACATACTGCTGCAGAATTGCATTTTGTAGTCAAAGATGATGATGTTGTAGGTGCTCAGATTATAGGTGCTGTTGGTATACCAGCACAGCAGTTATACTCAGGTGAAAGGATCGAGGGGTATTTTCCTATTACTAAAGCGAATGGGCAGAATTGGGAGACAGGAGCAGTTCTGAGTGTTTCGATTCAGTATATACCGGTTCACAGAATGAATCTTTATCATTTGGGTGTTGGCCCTGGTCCTACTTATTATGGTGTTCCTAGGACATATTTTCCACTTAGACAAGGGAATAGAATAACTCTTTACCAAGATGCACATGTTGAGGATGGTATGCTTCCTGAATTTAGGCTTGACAATGATATGCATTATGTGCATGGGAAATGCTGGAGGGATATCTTGAATGCTATATCTCATGCTCGTCGATTGGTGTACCTTACAGGGTGGTCTGTAACCCACCTTGTCAAACTTGTTCGTGATGCTAGAGATGGCTTGGGGATCACTTTAGGAGCTCTTCTCAAAGCTAAAGCACAGGAGGGTGTAAGAGTGCTGCTCCTTTTGTGGGATGACCCTACTTCTCAGAATATTCTGAACTTTACTACTGTAAGTGGATTTTCCTGCCTACTCTCACTGTTATTGTTTGCGAGTTTTGCTTGTGACCAGATTACTTTCTTTCAATCTTAGTATCTAATACTTGAGGGCAGCTATGTAGAATCTTATTAGTAGTGCACATTGCGCTTTCCACTTTCCTGCTTGATTGATGTCCATTTTTTTTCCTCTTTTACTTTTCTGTAGTTATTATAATTAGAATAGACAATTGTCGAGAAGTGGATATAAAAATGCATTTTTTCTGTCACAATGAGAATGCCAAATTGCCAATTGCTGCTCTCCTAGTTTCTACCTATTATGGCATCATTTGCTTCGGCCTTATCAGTTTTCCTTATTTTACATCTTTAGATTCTTATAAATGTCATGTAAAAAAAGGATCTTTTGCTTATTTGTGCATCTGATGTGTAGCAAGGCATCTTAGCAACAGATGATGAAGTAACTTTCCAATTCTTCAAGAACTCCTCAGTGCATGTCATACTTTGCCCACGATCTGGTGGGAAAGGGCATAGTATTATCAAGCAGCAGGTATTTACATGCAACTTTGTCCAAACCAAATCGTTGTTCTCTCTTTGTTTCATAATTGTACAATTTACCTCGACAGTTATATTAATACTGTGTTTGTTCTGATATGTCCCTTTGATTATACTATGGTCAGGAAGCTGGAGCAATCTATACCCATCATCAGAAAACTGTTATTGTAGATGCTGATGCAGGCCACAACTGGAGAAAGATAATTGCTTTTGTTGGCGGGCTTGACCTCTGTGCTGGGCGATATGATACACCAGAGCATTCTCTTTTCAGAACATTGCAGACAGTACACAAGGATGACTTTCATCAGCCAAACTTCACTGTAATCATACTTCTCAACTCCTCTTTCACTGTATAAAATACACTAGATTGATATCGATATATATCAATGCCTATAACATATAGTTACTGAGGTGTGCAGATGCATTTTCATGCAAATATATTGATCCTCTATTCTACAGGGTCCAACTGATGGATGCCCTAGAGAACCTTGGCATGATTTGCACTGTCAAATTGACGGTCCAGCTGCATATGACATCATGGCCAATTTCCAGGAGCGTTGGTTAAAGGCTTCAAAACCTCGGGGGCTACAAAATTTGTCAAAATCTTACGATGATCATCTACTTCAAGTAGAGAGGGTTCCTGATATTCTCAAACTAGAAGATGTAATCAGACACAGTCATGATGATAGGGAATCATGGCATGTGCAGGTTCAGCTTGTTCTTAAAGTTTCTTTTAGATTTTCAGATTTTTATTTAAAGATATTACTCACGACTAACTAATTAACTAAACTATCTCAGATCTTCCGCTCAATAGACTCCAATTCCGTGAAAGGATTTCCAAAGGATCCTAAAGATGGGATACGATGGGTTAGCATCTTGACTTCCTCTGAACTTCTGTGGATTTACTACCCTTCTTAGTATAGACTGTTAACGAACATTTGGGTTTTCATTATGTTTGACCAGAACCTTATGTGTGGAAAGAACGTACTCATAGACATGAGTATACAAGCAGCTTATGTACATGCCATCCGTTCTGCCCAGCATTACATTTATGTTGAGAACCAATACTTTCTTGGCTCTTCATATAATTGGGATTCTTACAAAGACTTAGGTAATTCGCCACAATCCTGAATTCGATATTCTCATTTACTTTTGCACGATAAGAGAGTTCTGAATTTCTTTCATATCAGCTCAATGATGGATACAAAGTATTATGCAGTAGGAAAAAAAATTTAGTGTTAGAATTCTCAAAGGCGATCTTGCTAACTCACTAGAAAACTAAGCTTGAAGCTGCAAACGATAGAACTTGACCAGCCATCGTATTCCAAACTACCAATGGTTTATATATTATTATTGTTTATTGTTTTTGAAAATGTTGTGTTTATAGTTCAAATTAGATGCATCCTTTGAGTGATAACTTGCATGACCCTGTATTGTCCTGATTCTGAGCAGGTGCAAATAATTTGATACCGGTAGAAATTGCTCTTAAGATTGTCAGTAAAATCAAAGCAAATGAGCGATTTGCTGCATACATTATCATTCCTATGTGGCCAGAGGGTGACCCCAAAAGTCTTGCCATGCAGCGGATTCTTTTTTGGCAGGTATAATGCAGATCATATAGTTGTAGGCTTCTTGACTATGCCACAATTATAGACATCAACTTGCTACTAAATGCTAGTTCTTCATACAGTATCTGATATTTTGATTATCCTAATTTACTTGGCTTTTCCCTTTTTCAACTGCAGTACAAGACAATGCAAATGATGTATGAGATGATCTACAAGGCATTGGAAGAAACAGGAATGCACAGCAAATATGAGCCTCAAGACTTTTTGAATTTCTTTTGCCTAGGAAACCGCGAGGTTTTAGATGAAAACCGTACTAGAAATCCTGGTAGTACTCCAAATGGAAATACTCCTCAGGTAATTATCTCATTTTCTAGCTTCATTTGTAAGTATTTCCATGGAAGTGGTCTGTTCTTAGCACGTCATAAACCAATATTTGCTTCAATATTAGGCTCTTTCAACCAAGAATCGACGATTCATGATCTATGTTCACTCGAAAGGCATGATAGTGGATGATGAGTATGTGATCCTTGGTTCTGCAAACATCAACCAACGATCTATGGAAGGTACTAGAGACACTGAAATTGCAATGGGTGCATATCAGCCAAACTACACTTGGGCTAATAGACATTCTAGTCCACGCGGACAGGTATGCATACGTTACCTTAAGTAGCTTGTTAAGTAATGTAGCACACCCTCATCCTGATGAATTAAACCATCTACTTTTGAGACGGTTCCTAATGAAACTTCCCTTAGCTACAATGCTAGATTGCCCTTTATAACACATATAGTACGCGTACACTAACTAATCTTAAGTTAAACGCGTGATTTACTTCTGATAAGCTAAATGTACAAACTTAATCTATGATTGCAGATATATGGATACAGGATGTCGCTATGGGCCGAGCACCTAGGGAAGGTAGAGGACTGCTATGCACAACCGGAGAGTGTCGAGTGTGTGAGACGAGTAAGATCAATGGGTGAGCAAAACTGGAGACAGTTTGCTGCAGATGAGGTAACAGAGATGAAAGGACACCTTCTCAAGTATCCTTTGCAAGTTGATGAATTAGGAATTGTAAGCCCTCTTCCTGGTTATGAAACATTCCCTGATTTAGGTGGGAAGGTCATGGGAACCTTCTCTGGCATTCAAGAAAACCTTACCATTTGATCATTGACCATAACACTAATTTTTTTTTGAAATAATATTAATTAGGTGATTGTTTATACTTTATACCCTTGTTTATTGAATAATTGTAATTAGTTGAGAATTTGTAAGCTTTGCTTAAGTTGAATGAATGAATGATGATAAATTGTTGCTCTTTATACTTTCTAATTTGATGTCCCAATTAAAGTTGTTATTTTTGGGTTGGGCTTAGTTTGCTATGTGTTTATTTGACCCCCTTTTTTTTTTTTTTTGTGACAGCGTTTTTTTTTATTGTTATGTACTTCTCTTTTCGTAAAAAATAATAATAATAAAAACAAAAAATCAGTATTAAGCAACAATGTCATGAATCATCAATCAATGAACCTATACTAAAGGTGAATCTTATACGACACGTGTCATTATGTGGTTAAGAAAATTTTAAAAGGAATGGTGTCCTTCCAACAAGTGTATTATTCCGATAGAGGGTTCGGAATTATTAGAAATTTAATTCTTCAATGAGGTTAAGTGATCGGGATGTCTAAGTGGAGGCCGCTTCCGATCAGTAATATTAATGAGTAATTAATATTACAGCTTAATCTTAACTGAACCCTTCAAGTCGCACCCCAATCGAGTAACCGATCCGAGACGACGAATCAATCCGAAGGATTAGATGAGTCATTAGAGTATTACGAACAAAGATGTCGGATATTGAGCTTAGAGCGTCGAAACCGAGCGTCACAAGTCGAGTCAAATTTTGAAGACGAGATGTAGAATCAAGCAAGCGACAAGCAGCGTGTTGGGCATTGGCTCCTACTTGTCGCTAGCTACATCTCGTACTTGTCGCTTGCTAGGCTAGGCGAGGGCACCAACCGCATGCATGCTAGCGTGGTGGGCATCGCACCCAGCACACGCATAGTCGCAGCTAGGCTGCGCTGAGCATGCAAGCATCGCAAGCATAGTGCTATGTGTATGCGTGCTATGGATGTGCATGCTTGCTAGCATGCTAGGCCAAGCACCCAACCCCTCGCAGCATCGCACTCACACAACATGAACATCGCAAGCAGCGTGTTGTGTGTGCGTGTGTTGTGCGTGCTTGCTAGCGTAGCAGCACCAAGTAGCAGCAGCTGGGCCTCGCCTCTTGCACAGCAGCACACATCGCAGCAGCAGCTCGCATTGCGTGCGTGGCCTGCTTGCTGCACGCATGTGTCTGCGAGCTGGCTGGCAGCCCAACCTTGGTGCTAGATGCCAACTGGGCAGCCAAGGCAGGCTGCAAGCCAGCCATGTGTGCGTGGTCAGCCCGGTCAAAAATGGGGACCGGTCTTATGGCCTTGCTTGGGGAGCAAGGGGATTTTGGTCCCCCCTTTGGTGGTCCTCACCTACTCATGCTCTCCATATGCCACTTGGAGCTTGTTGATTGCTTTGCATTTTAATTTGTTTTTTATTAAAATAAATTGAGGAAAAATGCAGTTCTCCCACATTGATGGGAAAAGGGAGATCAAGGCTCCCTTCCCTATAAATACCCAAGTTTTGGAGTTGGGAAAAATCACTTGAGTTGAACTCAATAAGGCATCTCCTTGAAAGTGAGAAAACATTTAAGTTCGTAATACTCTAGTTTATCTTTGGTCAAGTCCCAATTAACCTTCGGGATAAAGACTGCTCGGGTCGGGTCGAGGGTGCGAGCCGTTGGAGGCCTTTGCACTTGCGAGGCTAGAGCTTTGAAGTAAGAGCTCGTATGCGAGTGAAGTACGCGTCGAGGGTAAGAATATCATTTCTCTTTCTCTATCTTTTGTTGTTTAATTATGTGATTGCATGTTTAGTTGATTTAATTAGTGGGCGGGTTTCTCTTCCGCATAGTGTCGGACACTACGAAACCCAACAAATTCCCGCCTATTTTTCTTTCCGAATTTCTATAATATTGTTACTAAATCTTAATGTATCTTAAATTATTATTTTTATGGATGATTCTAATAATATATTTTTATTTAATAAATAAATCAAGATATGTACATGATATTGCATTAGTAAAAGTTTCATAAGTGGCTGGCCACACCATGCGGCCAGCCACAATATAAGGCCCATTCGCGTTTTGGGTGGCCTTTATAACGGAGTTCTGTTATAACGGACTCCATTATTTCAAAAAAAAAAAAACATTTTTCAAATTTTATTTTGTTTTCCTTTGGTCATAAATCTTTTAACCGCCATTTCATCAATTTGTCATTTCAATTCTCTACAAATTCTCTTTCTTCCTTTCTACTCTTTCAATTTCTTTGTTTACTTCTCTTTCTTCTTTGAATTTCTCTTGATTGTTTTTTTGTGCAATTTTTCTTTGAAGTTGTACAATGACGAAACTTAAAATCGTTTATGGCAAGGGTAACAAGAGCTTATCATCGAACAAAAATGGCGACGATTCTGGTAATTTCGTAACCCTATTTTTCCAGTTTTTATGCTTTTTCTGATTTCTTTTTGAGTTTTTTTTGTATATCTAGGCTTGTGATTTTGATTTGTAATTTGTTGTCATTTTTTTGTACAAATTTTACTTGTTCTGAATTTTGATTTCGAAACCCTAGGTTTTCGTTATTTTCAGTTTCATATGTTTCTAGCGCTTCTGTTTTGTTCTTTTCGAATTATTTTATTTCATTTGTATTTTAGGTTTTGGATTCTGCTTTTAAAAAATTTTATTCTCTTTGTTGATCATTTTCTTGTGTTTGTTGTTTTTGCATGTTTTATAATTTGATGTTTCTTTGATTTTCCTAATTTTTTTGTTTTTCTTCTGTGATTTAGTTCAGTTCATTTGTATTTTAGGTTTTGGATTACTTGTACTAAATATAGAGGTTACTTGATTTTATATGTTTTGCTGTGTGCCTTCTATATTATTTGACATAATCCATAAATGTTGGAAGAAGTTTTGCTTACCTTTGAATGTATTAAAAGGTCATTTTATAAGGGTTACTAGTTCCTCATAACATTATTTAGGGGTTACTAGTTGTGTACATAAGTTTTAAGTACTTGTTACAATGTCTACAACATTAATTATATATGTTACTAGGTGATTCCAGGGTTACTAATTTGTTAGATGTATTTGATTATAATTATATATGTTACTAGGTCATTCCAAGGTTACTAGTTTGTCAGATGTATATGATATAGGGGTTACTTTATTTCATTTTATGGGTTACCTAGATGTATATGCTTATAATATAGTATTCATGGGCTACTAGTTGTCCTTACTATGTGTTATATATGTTTTAAGGGTTACTATTTGTCTTTAACATGGTTTCATGGTTTACTAGTTGTCCATCAGCCTTTAATATGTGTTTTCGGGTATAATATGGCATCATATTAGATATAGGCATTATACTTCAATTATTTATATGGTTTCATGGGTTACTAGTTGTCCATTAATATGACATCATATTAGACACATGCATTATACTTCTTTTATTTATATTTCTTATGGTTTATTTTGTTTAAAACAGATGTTAAAGATGTAGATAAAGAAGAAGTTTGTTCTGGTCTTCGTGGTGGTACTGCAGAAGTTGATTCTGGTCTTCTTGGTTGTGCTGCTGCTGGTTCTTCTGATTTTGTAGATAATGAAGATGTATGCATGTGGTGCTACAACATCTGCCTTAAATGAGTCTACTTCTGCAGTTAATGAATGTAGAGCTATAATTATTCATCCTATTGAGGCTAATCAGGATGATAATACTAAGGATTTTAAGGAAGTTAATCCTACTGAAGAGGCTAATCCTTCTGAGGAGGCTAATGATGATGACTTTAAGCTTGCTTCTTTGGTACCTGTTTCCAAGAAACAAGCCTTACTTTCAAAAGATCTACAGTTGATAGAAAAGAAGACTGATGATGATCTAGAGGTAAAGCCTATAGTTAAGAAGCGACGTAGGGACGTTGTTGAGAAAGATGATGATGTCAAACCAAATGTTAGAAAGGCAAAAACATCTAAAGCTTAAGCATCTCAAGGTGTTGAAGAAGTTGATGTGAAACCTATTGTGAGAAGTACAAGAGCATCCAAACCTAAAGAAGAAGCTATTGAAGTTATCAATGTTGAAGAGGAGTAAGTTACATGTATGCATATATGAAGTTCTTTTCCCTGTTATAGTTTTTGTTGTTATTGTTCCTTATATGGGGGTTACTTGGGTATCATATAGGGGTTACTTGATAGGTATATAGGGGATTACTTTCTATACTTAGGGGATTACTTGCTCATTATATAGGGGTTACTTATAGGGTTAGTTGATATTTGTTGGGATTACTTATATTGGTTTGAGTTACTTGATTGTGGTTACTTAATTGTTTATTTAAGGTTGGGGTTACTTATATTAGTTTACGTATAAGGTTATTTACCGGGGTTACTTAGTCAACTATACAGGGGTTACTTAACCCTTTTCCCTGGGGTTAAGGGCAGGTGGGTTACTTAATCAATTATATAGGGGTTGCTTAATCATTTTCATTTGGGTTAATGGCAGGTGGGTTATAATTATATAGGGGTTACTTAATTTTTTTCACTAGGGTTACTTATATTGTTTATTTAAGGTTTGGGTTACTTTTATTGTTTATTAAAGGTTGTGGTTAGAAAGGTTGGGGTTACTTAGTTGATATGTTTTTATTTATTTGGTTATTGATTTTTGTTTGATCTATTGTTTTATAGGGCTGATGAGGTGACTGTTCGATGTAGACCTACGGGTGTGTTTGATTTAATGAAAGGGTTAACTAAAGACCAGTTGAAAGTTGTTTATGCTATTGGCTTTCAAAGCTTGCATTACATAAAGTTAACTGAATTTCCAAGGGGGATGCTCCGATGGTTGTGCAAGTGTTTTGATCCCAGTAGTAGGATGTTTGTAATGCCTACTAGAGAGAAATTTCAATTAACTGCAGCTGATGTATATGAAGTTTTTGGAATCTCGATGGGAAAATTAGTTGCTCAAGTGACAGTTGTTCATTCAGATTTGAAGAACTCTTGGAAGAAAAAATATGGTTGGAAAAATCTTGAAGTTACTGTGAAGCGGTTGGATGAAATGTTGAAATTTGATCCACAAATGAAATTAGGAAATGATGATTTCAAAAAATGTTTTGTGATGTTTTCAATGATTACATTGCTAACGCCAACTTCTAATAGATTGGCTTATATGAAGCTTGTTGTAGCTTTAGAAAATGTGGACATGAT